AAGAGAGACAGGGAATACCTGAATCCACAAGCCAATTTCTAAGGCATTTCTATTCAATAAAATGTTTTAAGTTAAACTAATAATTGTATATAGTTAAGTGAAATACTGCTACAAAGCTTGTAATGAAAGATCACTGGCTTCTGCTTGTTCCCACTTTCCCCCTTTGTCCTTCCCACCAATAACTGGCAGCTTACCCTGTGCTTTCTTACTTACCAATTAGAAACATTATCTGGTGACATCATGTTTTAGTAAATGAAGATTTAAAACTATTAACACCCTCTGTTACTACTATTCCTCTCAACATAGTTATCTCACAGCTTTTGTTTAAATCAGTAACAGGTGTTTGCATTTTTAAATGATTACCTTCCATTTTTAATAAAATTTGGTCCACATGATTTAATATTTGTATCTAATAAACTTTTTTAATAGAAAACTTTTATTTAATAAATAAAAATTTCAAAAGTATAACTTTTGGATTTTAGCGGTTCTTCCCCCACATAACCACTCTCCCTTCTGCAAACCATCCCATCTCCTGCTCCCTCTTCCATCCCATTCTTCATTAAGATTGATTTTTAATTATCTTTGTATACAGAAGATCAACTATATACTAAGTAAAGATTTCAAGAGTGTGCACCCACACAGACACACAAAGTATAAAGTACAGTTTGAAGACTAGTTTTACTGTTAATTCTGATAATACAGCACATTAAGGACAGAGGTCCTACATGGGAAACAAGTGCACAGTGACTGCTGTTGTTGATTTAACAATTGGCATTCTTATTTATGATGTCAGTAATCACCCGAGACTCTTGTCATGAGCTGCCAAGGCTATGGAAGCCTTTTGAGTTTGCCAACTCCGACCTTATTTAGACAAGGCCATAGTCAAAGCGGAAGTTCTCTCCTCCCTTCAGAGAAAGGTACCTCCTTCTTTGATGGCCCCTTCTTTCCATCGGGATCTCACTCACAGAGACCTTTCATGTAGGTCATTTATTGCCACAGTGTCTTGGCTTTCCATGCATGAGATACTCTCATGGGCTTTTTAGCCAGATCTGAATGCCTTAAGGGCTGATTCTGAGGCCAGGGTATCTAATAAACTTTCTAAAATAAGTATGAAGCCCCTATAATTCTGTTTCTCACATGGTCAAATGTGTAGGGTAATAGATAATGTATGACATTAGCATCATGATTAGCTAAACATTTAGCAATAATGTGGTACCAGTATTTTCTTCCCATTAAGAGCCTGAGTCAAAATCTACATATTCTCTGGCATTCTATTTTTTAATGATTTTATTTATTTATTTGAGAGAGTTACAGAGAGAGGAAGAGAGAGTATTTCATCAGCTGGTTCACTCTTCAGATGGCCTCAACGGCTGGAGCTAAGCCGATCTGAAGTCAGGAGCCAGGAGCTTCTTCTGGGTCTCCCACATGGGTGCAGGGGCCCAAACATTTGGGCCATTTTCCATCGCTTTCCCAGGCAACACCAGAGAAATGGATTGGAAGAGGAGCAGCTGGGATTCGAACTGCACCATATGGTATTCTGGTACCACAGGTGGAGGCGTAGCCCACTGTACCATAGTGCTGGCCAGTATTTTATTTTAATCCACTGAGTAAGGAGAATTAGAATCCGTAATAATTACTGAGGGGCTGGTGCCCCTCACTAGGCCAATCCTCCGCCTGCGGTGCCGACACCTCGGGTTCTAGTCCCAGTTGGGGTGCTGGATTCTGTCCCAGTTGCTCCTCTTCCAGGCCAGCTCTCTGCTGTGGCCCGGGAGTGCAGTGGAGGATGACCCAGGTCCTTGGGCCCTGCACCTGCATGTGAGACCAGGAGGAAGCACCTGGCTCCTGGCTTCAGATTGGCGCAGCACGCCGGCCACAACACGCTGGCCGTAGCAGCCACTTTGGGGTGAACCAACGGAAAAAGGAAGACTTCTCTCTGTCTCTCTCTCTCTCTCACTAACTCTGCCTGTTCCAAAAAAAAAAAAAAAAAAAAATTACTGAGAAACTAAAGCAAGAAAGCTGTGTGAGGTCCATGAATGGGAATTAGGGGTTTATAGACTCACTGAAAGTTGTAAGTCAAGGTTTTGATGTGCATTTCTCTTGAGGAATCCATAGCTTTTGGTAGATTTCCAAAGAAGTTTATCACTTCCCAGACAGAGATTGGAACTCAGTAAAAGCCACTGATTAAAAGGGAGCTGGGGGCCAGCGCCATGGCTCACTTGGTTAATCCTCTGCCTGCGGCAACCGGCATCCCATATGGGCACCGGGTTCTAGTCCTGGTTGCTCCTCTTCCGGTCCAGCTCTCTGCTGTGGCCCGAGAGGACAGTGGAGGATGGTCCAAGTGCTTGGGCCCCTGTACCCACATGGGAGACCAGGAAGAAGCACCTGGCTCCTTGCTTCAGATTGGCGCAGCTCCAGCCATAGTGGCCATTAGGGGAGTGAACCAATGAAAGGAAGACCTTTCTCTCTGTCTCTCCCTCTCACTGTCTGTATCTCTATCGGTCAAATAATTTTTAAGAAAATTAACTTGAAAAAAGGAGGGGGGCTGGCACTGTGGCATAGAAGGTTAAGCCTCTGCCTGCAGTGTGGGTATACCATATGAGAGTCCTGTCTGCTCCACTTCTGATCTAGCTCCCTGCTAATGCGCCTGGGAAAGCATCGGAAGATGGCTCAAGTGCTTGGGCTCCTGTACCCACATGGACGACCCGGAAGAAGCTCCTGGCTCCTGATTTCAGCCTGACACAGTCCCGGCTGTTGCTGCCATTTGGGGAGTAAACCAGCAGGTGGAAGATTTTCTTTCTCCCCTCCCCCCTGCATTACTTATTCACTTTCAAAAAAAATTAAAATAATAAAACTATAAGCTTTAAAACTTGAGTACAATTTGAGAGATTCTTAGACCCTCTAGAGCCTATTAGAATTCTTGAACTTCCCACATTGGGTATAGACCATAAAACAGGGCTGGGGAGCCTTTTTCCTGCCCAGGGCCTTTTGGATAATTACAATATCATTTGCAGCCCATACAAAATGATCAACTTAAAAATTAGCTTGCTACAGATTTATTGAGTGTTGAGTCCCTCTTGTGGTTGCCTTGGCAGGGCCAGACCAAATGATTTTGTAAGCCTTGTACAGTCTGTGGAGCAGATGTTTCTCGACCCTGCCATAAAGAACCACATTGTGTATCATTTTAGGTCTGGTGTTATTACTTTAGAAGCTTGAAGTTTTGGGGCCAGTGTTATGGTATAGTAGGCTAAACCTCTGCTATGGCACTGGCAGGCCATATGGGTACCGGTTTGTGCCCCAGTTGCTCCTCTTCTGATTCAGCTTTCTGCTTATGGCCTGGGAAAGCAGTGGAAGATGGCCCAAGTGCTTGGGCCCCTGCACCCACATGGGATACCTGGAAGAAGCCGCTAGCTCCTGGCTTCCGATCAGCCCAGCTCTAGCCGTTGCAGCCATTTGGGGAGTGAACTAGCAGATGGAAGACCTTTCTGTGTGTGTGTCTCCCTCTCTCTGTAACTCTGCCTCTCAAATAAATAAAATCTTAAAAAAAAAAAAGCTTGAAGTTTTGGCTATATTTTTTCTTTTTAATTTCAGTTTTTTAAACAAACACATAAATATTGTACATATTTTGGGGATACCACGTGATGTTTCAAAACCGCTTATATTGTATACTGTCCAGGTAAGGTAAACTTAACTATCTCCTAAGAATTTAACAGGTTTTTTTTTTTTTTAATTTGTGAAAACATTTAAAATCCTTTCTTCTAGTTTTTAAATAGAACATTATCAATATATATATATAGTCATGCTACTGTAAAATGAATTCCAGAAGTTCTCCTATTTAAGTACCCATTAACCTTTCCCCATCTCTTTCTCTCCCTCATATAATACTTTAAAAAAAAAATTTATTTATTTATTTGAAAGGCAGAATTACAGAGAGGCAGAGGCAGAGAGGGAGAAAGAGAGGTCTTTCATCTGCTGGTTCATTCTCCAGATGGCCGCAACAGCCAGAGCTGGGCTGATCCGAAGCCAGGAGCCAGGATCTGCTTCTGGGTATCCCACCTGGGTGCAGGGGCCCAAGGACTTGGGAGCTGGGCTGATCCGTAGCCAAAAGCCTGGAGTTGCTTCTGGGTCTCCCATATGGGTGCAGGGAGCCCAAGGACTTGGGCCATCCTTCACCGCTTTCCCAGGCCATAGCAGAGAGCTGGATCAGAAGTGGAGCAGCCCTCACTTACCTGTATGTTTCTCTCATTGAATAAAATCCTTAAAAACTTAGCAACAATAACAAAAAGTTTGTGTGTGTGTGTATATATATATATGTATGTATATAACAGTGGTCATTGTTTAGACTCATGCATCACATTAGTGCTATGTGTGCCAAGTCCAGTAATACTTTGAACAGTTATTTTAAGTCTCAGTCTTTCAAAATATTAGTAGATGAATATATTTAAAAAGTTTTTTCAAAATTGCATTGTTTTCTACATAAAATTTTTCAGATGACCAAACTTACTGTTGTCTTACAGTTTTTTTCAAGATGTGCTTATTTATTTCAAAGGCAGAGTTAATGGAAAGAGAAGGAGAGACACTGAGAGAAAGAGATTTTCCATAAGCTGGTTCACTCCCCAAATGCCCACAACAGGCTGAGGTTGGGCCATGCTGAAGCTGAGAGCACAGAACTCCATCCGGGTCTCCCAAATGGGTGGCAGGGACCCACACACTCAGGCCATCATCTACTGCTTTCCCAGGCACATTAGCAAAGAGTTGGATCAGAAATGGAGCAGCTGAACTGGAACTAGCACCCATAAGGGAGGCTGGGGAGGCTGGCGCTGCATGTCAAAGCTCAACACATTGTGCTACAGCACATGCCAGAGGACATGATTTTCTTTAAAAAGGAATGTCTTGTTTTGATTTCAGAAGTTTTTTTTGAATATTTTTTCTAAAGATAATAAATGTCTAATTATGTAGATATAATTTGATATTATAATTAACCATGTGAATTTCACTTTCAGTGCAATGCGTGTTTTGCTCTCTAAATTACCCAGACCATGGATCGTGGATGAGAAGAAAGATGATGGTTATACCGCCTTGCATCTGGCTGCTCTGAACAATCATGTAGAAGTGGCTGAACTGTTGGTACACCAGGTAGGAAAAGCAGTTTGCTCGTTTGTTTTTTAAACACAATTTTGAGCTACTGCTATTTGTTTATTATTTCATCAGCTGCCTGTTAGTTGATCACAATAAAACTTTATGATGATGATAAATCAGATATAATGCATATTCAGTCTTTTGCCTAACACTGATTCTTGAACATACAGTTCAGGAGTGTGTGTCTGTGTGTGTGTATATAAATAGTAAATTGTAGATCTGATTACCAGATTGTAACGTGTACATGCCAAAAACAACAGAACTTTAAAGAAATAGTTCAGAAGTTGATACCTTCCCCCCTGCCATTTTAAGTCTGCTATTAAAATTGCTGCTGTTTTTGTTAATTATGATTTTTTTTCAAATCTAAACGACTTACCTTACATCAATATTATATTGCCTTAGTTCTTATTAGTGCTGTATGGTAAGTCTTGAAATCAGGTAGAGTAAACCTCCCAACTTTGTTCTGTTTTCTCAAAATTACTTTAAAATCTAGGTCTTTGGCATTTCCATCTAAGTTAATTTCCATTGAATCAGCTTATTAGTTTCGATTAGAGAGTCTGTTAGGAGTTAGCTCTTATATATATTAAACTTGTTTTTAAATAGCTTTTTTGAGATGATATTGTAAATTGTTTTGTTCTTACACTTTCAGTTTCCAATTGTATATTGTTAGTGTATATAAATACAATTATTTTTCATGTATCTTGTCACTTTGCTTAAACTTACTTTTCAGCCTAACAACATCTTTGTAGGTCCCTTAGTATTTTCTACATAGGTGATCGTACAGATCAAATTAATATAGAGAATGCAGAAGGATAGTCACACATATGTGGGGAATTGATTTTTATATTGTCTTGCCAAAGTCATTTAGTGGGGAAAGGAATAGTTTCTCATAAGTGGTGTTGAAACAAGTGGATTACCAGATACCAAAAAGCAAGCAAAAGCACCAGAACCCAAGAAACTTGAACCTTTACCTAACACATTATACAGAAATGAAATTGGTTGTAGACTTGAATATAAAAGCCTAAAATATCAAACATTCAGGGAAAATAGGAGTAGATCTTCTGCGTTGGAGATATACAAAAGTTTTTATAGTCACAAAAGAAAAAATTACTAAGGTTTGTGAAAAATTAAACTTCTGCTTATTAAAAGATATTGGTAAGAAAATGAACAGGAAAGCTGAACTAAGTAAAGGACTGGTATCCAAAACATGTAAAGAGCCTCTACTTAATAGTAAAAGGACAAATTACTATCTAAAAAGAGGCAAAAGTTTCAACATCCACTTTGCCAAAGGAAGCATACAGTTAGCAAATAAACAAATGAAAATATCACTGGTTATTAAGGAAGCACAATTATAAGCAGAGTAAGATATGATCACCCACAAGAATGGCCAAAATTAAAAAGACCAATACAACCAAGTGTTGATTAGGATGTGGCACAATTGGAATTCACATAACGTTGCTGGTGTTTTAAAAGCAGCCACTTCGCAAAACAATGGGGCGGTTCAAAGTTAAACATGTATTCACTGTATAATCCAGCAGTCCCACTTCTTGGGATATACCCAGGAGAACTAAAGGCACACTTCCACACAAGTACTTGTACTAAATGGTTATAACAGCTTTCTTTATAATATTCTCACAATAGAAGCAAAATCTAAACGGTGGAGAAACTAGGAAAATTAAAGAAAATCCTCTACTCTTCATTGTTATATGAGACCACACTCAGTCAGAAAATAAGGTGAAATCAGGTACCACAGGGCCATGCTCAAAGAAACATAAATATTGTAATAAAAACAAATCTGAAACTCCTGTCTTCTAGACTATGCATAACATTACTGAAGTTTCAGTTCTACCTCCCAAACAAGGGCACAGGAGGACATCAGAGTTGTAATCAAATGGCAAAAATGGTTCTAAGAGTAAACAAAATGATGGAAGTTTATCCTTTGAATCTTTAGCTCTTCACTTAATTCCATTTTTAGAAATTATGCCAGACATTATGCTAGACACTTTAGCGTGTTACATTAAGCCCATCCCCTAGGTTTATTGTCAACATTTTGGAGATGATGAAATAGGCATGAGATGGTATAATGCTTGCTTAAATTCTTGTAACTTATAAATGATAGGGCTTAGGCCAAGTCCCCTGACTTTAAGTTCAGGTGTTTTGTTTCTCAGTCCCTTTCTCTTTCAGTCCTTTGGCTGTCCTAGGAACCTGGGAAGGACTTCCTGTTCTCCCTTTAGTGATCTTTTTATGTACTAATTAAGTGTTACCTTCTCATCTCAAGCAAAGTGTTTTCAGGAATGAGGAAGAGTTCAGTGATGTAGCAAGAGGAAGTGAATTTATCAGGTCTTTAAAGTTAACCTGAATCCATTATGAAAACTTAATAAGGGGCTGGTGCTGTGGCGTAAGGGTAAAGCTACCACCTGCAGTGCCGGCATTCCCATATGCTGGTTCGAGACTTGGCTGCTCCACTTCCAGTCCAGCTCTCTGCTATGGCCTGGGAAAGCAGAAGATTTTTGCCCAAGTCCTTGGGTCCCTGCACCCACGTGGGATACCTGGAAGAGGCTCCTGGCTTTGGATCGGCACAGTTTTGGCCAATTGGGGAGTGAACCAGCAGATGAAAGACCAGTCTCTCTCTCTCTCTCTGTCTCGCTCTCTCTCACTCTCTCTGCCTCTCTTTCTCTCCCTGTATAACTTTGACTTTCAAATAAATAAATAAATCTTAAAAAAAAAAAAAAAAGAAAACTCAATAAAACAGCTACGTATTTGTAGTTCAGGAAGTTAATTATCTCCATTATTTTATGGTGGAGATGGAAAGAGACACGTTTGAGTTTGGTACTGTATTTTGTCTTTCAACTGTAGTTCAATAGAATCACTGTAAAAAAATAATTTTTTAAAACTTGCTGTTTTGCTGTTCTATTTTAGAAGAATTTGTTGCTCTTTTTTCTATATTAACAACATTTAGCATATGAAAATAATGCTATAACAGCTGGAGGAGTCAACAGTGTTCTTTAGTCTTTATAAATAGTTACAGTTTTAGTCTTCATTGTTATCAGATTTCACCATTTAAAATGTATTCTTCTTATTCAGGGTAACGCGAACTTGGATATCCAGAATGTGAACCAGCAGACTGCCCTCCACCTTGCTGTTGAACGACAACACACCCAAATTGTTAGGGTAAAGTACTTAGTAACATACATTGAGCTTACTCTTTTATTTTAACCAGACAGTTTTTGAACTTCTTGAAAATTGAAATGAAACAATGTGAGATTTCTCAAAAGATATTAGTTAGATTATATATATAATTTTAGGCTAATATTTTACATCACTTGGGCAAAGAGTTTTGATTTCAATAGCAATTCTTTTTTTAAAAAAGATTTATTTATTTATTTGTTTATTTGAGAGATAGAGTTACAGACAGTGAGAGGGAGAGACAGAGAGAAAGGTCTTCCTTCCGTTGGTTTCCTCCCCAAATGTCCACAACGGCCGTAGCTGCGCTGATACAAAGCCAGGAGCCAGGTGCTTCTTCCCTGTCTCCCATGTGGGTGCAGGGGCCCAAGCACTTGGGCCATCTTCTACTGCTTTCCCGGCCATAGCAGAGAGCTGGACTGGAAGAGGAGCAGCAGGACTAGAACTGGTGCCCATGTGGGATGCTGATGCCACAGGTGGAGGATTAACCTACTGCACCACAGCGCCAGCTCCTAATAGCAAAATTCTTAAAAGTCTGATATTTAAAGTCTTTATAGCTTTGTTGTCAGATTTATAAATTTGCAGAATGTTAAATGAGAAAATTTCAAAATAACATAAAAATCAGTTTTAAAAATTACATTCCCTTTTGATTTGTAAATTGATAATAAACTACAAATTAAAAGCTTTGGCTGGGATGGGTGTTTGGCATAGCAGTTAAGTTGCCACTTGGGACACCCTGATTCTATCAGGAGTTCCTAGGTTTCAGTCCCAGCTCTGCTTCTGGGAAGCAAGCAGATGGCTTCAACTAGTGGATCCCTGCCACCCACATAGGACACCTGGATTCAGTTCCTGGCTCCTTGCTTTTGCCTGATCCAGTTCTGGCTATTGTGGGCATATAGGGAATTAACAGAGAGCTCTCTGTCTCTCTGCCTTTCAAGTAAATAAAAATAAAATAAAATCTTTGGTTGGACATTTGCTGCTGCAAATTCAAAAATGCTGAAATACATATTTTACTAACCTGGTGTTTCAAAAAAATATTTGAAAGAATACTGGTTTAAATATTTTTGTAGAGTAACAGTTCCTAAAGTTTGGAGGCTGAACCACCATCATCAGCATCACCTGGAAACTTGGCAGAAAAGTTAAGGCTTACCACCTCAGACCAACAGCATCAGGACCTCAGGGGGTGGGAACCAGCAATCCCTGGTGTAACAAGCCCTCCAAGTAATTCTGATGCTTGTTCAAATTTGAGAAATACTGCCCTAAGGTGACTGTTTCTGTAACCTTTTTGGAATGGAGAGGGAAAAAAATGTAATTTGCCAAGACAGGAAAGATTTTATGCTTGAGATTGATTTCATAGATAGTGTTTTGCTAAAAGCTCTTTGATAGTATTTGGAGAAAGGATTAGGAAAATTGCTAAAGCTCCAAAAGTAAAGTTTTAAATAAACTTCCATCTACTGCTTAAGTTATCTGTTGAAATATGTCATTTATGCATTTTATCTAAGAAGTTGTGGTTTAGTAAATGCTGTTCACATTTGTTATTTAAAATTCCTCTTAACCAAATATTTTTTTTAGATTTATTTATTTGAAAGTTAGAGTTACACAGAGAGAAGAGAGGCAGAGAGAGAGAGAGCGAGCGAGCGAGAGAGGTCTTCCATCTGCTGGTTCACTCCCCAGGTGGCTGCAACAGCCGGAGCTGTGCCGATTCAAAGCCAGGAGCCAGGAGCTTCTTCCAGGTCTCCCACGTGGGTGCAGGGGCCCAAGGACTTGGGCCATTCTCTGCTGCTTTCCCAGGCCATAGCAGAGAGCTGGATGGGAAGTGGAGCTGCTGTCTCTCCAACCAGTGCCCTTATGGGATGCTGGCACTTCAGGCCAGGGCGTTAACCCACTGCACCACAGCATTGGCTTCCCAAATGTTCTTAATTTATCCTCTATGCTATTTGGGCTTTCTTTTTCTTTTCTTTTATTATCTCAAATAGGGCTTTCGTTTTTTTTTCTGCAGTTTTTTTTCCAGGCAGAGTTAGTGAGAGAGAGACAGAAAGGTCTTCCTTTTGCCGTTGGTTCAACCCCCAAGTGGCCTCTATGGCCAGTGTGCTTTGCCGATCCGAAGCCAGGAGCCAGGCGCTTCCTCCTGGTCTCACATGCGGGTACAGGGCCCAAGGACCTGGGTCATCCTCCACTGCCCTCCCAGGCCACAGCAGAGAGCTGGACTGGAAGAGGAACAACTGGGACAGAACCGGCGCCCGAACCGAGTCTAGAACCTGGGGTGCCAGCACCACGGGCGGAGGATTAGCCTAGTGAGCCGCGGCGCCAGCCATGGGCTTTCTTTATGACCATAAATTTGAAAAAAAAAAAAAAAAAAGAAAGAGAAAGGAATCAATAGTAACTTTTGCTTGTTTATTTAAATAGAAGAATTTTGAACATTATGATCTGGTCCTCATAGAAGTACTTAACTATATCAACTCACATACCTAAAATTTTCTTTGAGGAAATGGATTAAGCAGCATATTGACTCTCATTTCCTTTTATCTCCCCTAATTCAATACATTTGAATAACCAGAACACTTTCCTCTTTGTAAGGAGCCACAGAGTGTAAAATAGAAAACAAAGTTGTAAAAACCTTTTGTTTTAATGGCAGTTTCTTTAGAAAGTCAAGGACTCTCCCATGGATACTTTACATATATTGTAGTTTCTTATAAGTGTGGACACTTTAACAAAATGAGACGTCTTTCTCTTTTAGCTTTTGGTGCGTGCAGGTGCTAAGCTAGACATTCAGGATAAGGATGGGGACACTCCTTTGCATGAAGCTCTGAGGCATCACACTTTGTCTCAGCTACGTCAGCTTCAAGATATGCAAGATGTAGGGAAGGTGGATGCTGCCTGGGAACCATCTAAAAATACAGTGAGTAAAGATAATGTCTCATCCTGTAAGAGCAGAAGTATCTTAATCCAGGACCTTATTCTGTTAATACAATCTATATCAGGTAAAATATTTTATCAGAGCTACATACTTAGAAATTTAGTCAGTGAACTAAATACTAGCCAGTACTTTTCCTTACAATTTATATTTGAAGTTCATAAAGTTTTAGCTCTTACGGTTAAGTCTGTGATTCATTTTCAGTTGATTTTATGACATAGGGATCAAAGTTCATTTTCTTGTTTGTGGATATCCAGTTGTTCCACCACCATGTGTTAAAGAGAGTCTTTTACTGAGTTACTTGGAGTGCCTTTATCCAGAATCAGTTAACTGTATATGTAAAGGTCTTTTTCTGGATCTTGTATTTTATTCTGTTCTGTGTTTGTAACTATGTGATGCCAGCAGCATTGTCTTGATTACTGTAGCTTTATAATAAATGCTGGAATCAGGTTATATAAATCCTCCAATCTTCTTTTATTTTCAAATTATTTGTTCTATGTCCTTCACATTTTCTCTTGAATTTTATAATCATTTTTCTAGTGTAAAGAGTTTCTGAGACCAAAATGTTTGAGAATACTGCCTTATTTTATGACTACAGGTAAATTCTCTTGACTCATGTATTCTTCCCTTTTTCTCATTTTAAAATGGCAAAAAAGGATATTTATCTCCATAGATTGTTATACAAATAGTGAAAGTGCTTAAAATAGTAGTTGGTCCATTATAAGTGCTCAACAAATATTAGCAGTTATTGTGACTACTGTTTGAGCCATTGGGTCAGATGATATTATCAGAACCTAATTTGTCCTATTCTCTATTTCTTGGCTCATTTCACAGGTATTGGCTTTTTTCCTCAGTTGTTTCTTCCCTTATTGTTTCAAGTTGATTACTAGCTAATCCAGGGCTAAATGGAGAAAAAGTTGTTTTTTAAATATCTCTATTAGGAATTCTACTCTTGAATTTTATTGTCCTTAATTGACCTTGGGTTATATGTTCATTCCTGAACTAGTTACATAAGTAAGGTAGGTATCTGACTTGTTTGAATCACCTTTGATCAACCCCTAGAACTTGAGAATGGGTCAGTTCTTATATTGAATGACTAAAAAATTAGGGGTGTTGTTCCTGTAAGGGAGAATTGTTATTATAACTGAAACTCGTTAATGTCTGCCACATAGACACACACACACACACACACACACACACGGTGGTAAGAATTGATTGCAGATTCCTAAAGGGAAAATCATAACTTTTTTCATTTGATTTCAGTTAATAATGGGACTTGGTACTCAAGGCGCAGAGAAGAAGAGTGCAGCATCTATTGCCTGTTTCTTGGCAGCCAATGGAGCTGATCTTAGCATTCGAAATAAGAAGGGTCAGTCCCCCCTTGATCTCTGTCCTGATCCAAGTCTTTGCAAAGCATTGGCAAAGTGTCATAAGGAAAAAGTCAGGTTTGTATTTTTTTAATCAAAAACCTTAATTTTCTATATGTTAATTATCATGTGGATTCATAATAGAGGACTTGCCTACTTGAAAATGTCTTCTTTTGTTCTTATCAATTTTTTTTAAAGATTTATTTATTTATCTGAAAGTCAGAGTTAAACAGAGAGGAGAGGCAGAGAGAGAGAGAGAGAGAGAGAGAGAGGTCTTCCATCCGCTGGTTCACTCCCCAGTTGGCTGCAACCAGAGCTGTGCCGATCAGAAGCCAGGAATCAGGAGCTTCTTCCAGGTCTCCCATGCGGGTGCAGGGGCTCAAGGTATTGGGCCATGTTCTACTGCTTTCCCAGGCCATAGCAGAGAGCTGGATCAGAAGTGGAGCAGCCAGGACTCGAACTGGTGCCCACATGGGATGCCGGCGCTTCAGGCCAGGGCATTAACCTGCTGTGCCACAGAGCCGGCCCCTGTTCTTCCTTATCTTTATGTTGACCATTTTTCCCTTGAAAATTTTCTTATGTGCACACTGTCTTCTTATTTCAGTTGTGTTCCCCATATTATTTTCTAATCCAATCTATTCTGGTTGTATTCCTATGTCTTAGAGGAGTTTATTAGTAGGAAAGTCTTACTGATAAAATTGCTGTGGTTATTGTTGTATATGTTTAAATGTTAATAGACTGTTCCTAAGAGAGACAGTTTACTCACCATGAACAGCATATACCTCACACAAATGCTGTTGTGATTCTGGCACCCTGCACTCGAGCACATGACAGACACTCGGTAAGTTTCAGTGAAGGATTGAGAAAATGAACAATGAGTGAGTCAACTTCTGGTGGAGTTTTCTCTGAAGATGATCATTTTAGCTTTGTCTATTGTTTCTGAAAGTAAAATATGTCAAAGATTTTATGTATTATTTATGATATAATTTATTTACTTAGAAGATTTTGTAGCCATAGAAAAAGGTATATATTTTATTAACTTTCATCCAAACAATATTGTGCAACTATTACTGTACTTCTGCCTGGTTCTTGTACTGAACATTTTGCTAACTGTCTCTTGACTTTTATGTTTGCTTGCCTCTTTTACAATTTATGTGTAGGGATGAAATGGCAGCTCTTTAGAATCCATATAGACAGTTGTGTTATAAGCAAAATTAATCTAATGATGTATATAGATTTCCTTAAGTATATCCTTAAGGAACATAAAATCCTATTAGGGTGCTGGCCTCGTGGTGTTATTGGGTTAGTCTGCCACCTGTGATGCTGGCATCCCATATAGGTGGCAGTTTGAGTCCTGGCTGCTCCATTTCCAATCCATCTCCCTGCTAATATGCCTTTGGAAGCAGCAGAAGATGGCCCAAGCACTTGGGCCCCTGCACTCATGTGGCGGACCTGGAAGAAATTCCTGGGGCTCTTGGCTTCAGCTTAGCTCAGCCCTGGCTATTGCAGTCACTTGGAGAGTGAACCAGTGGATGGAAGACCTCTGTTTGTGTCTCCCCATATCTCTCTATAATTCTGACTTATAAATAAATAATCTTTAAAAAATTACAAAAAAAGACAATGCATGTATAAATACATGGATTTAGGCACTATGATTACTACAGTAATAACCTTTAATCATAGAGTCTAAGTTAGAACTTTGTGTGTATATATGTGTGTTTGTGAGTTTCTAAACATTGGTAGAAATGGTGCCCTTTTCTGTAGCAGTAATTGCTCATACAAATGTTTTTCTGTGTCTTATATCTCTATATCTTTATCTTGATATAGATAATTACTAAGATTTATTTATTTGAAAAGTGGTGTGACAGAGAAGAGAAAGATCTTCCATATGCTTGTTTACTCCCAAATGGCCACAACAGCTGGGCCAAAGCCAGTACTTTGAAACTCCACTCCCAGTCTCCCACTTGGATGCCAGGGATTTAAGTACTTGAACCATCATCTGCTGCTTCCCAGACGTATTAGCATAAGACTGGATCAGAATCAGAATAGCCAGGACTTGAACTGGCATTCTGATAGAAGACGTGGGTATTATAAATCATGGCTTAACCCACTGTGGCATAACTCTTGCTGCTCATGTATCTATTTATAGATGGCATTCTGTCATTCTGTAATAGAATTTTGTTAGGGACCCATGTAAACGGAGGTCAGAAAAGACCTGATGGGGCTGACACTGTGGTGTATGTAGTAGGTGAAGCACCCGCCTGCAGTGCTGGCATCCCATATGGGTGCCAGGTCAAGTCCAAGCTGCTCCACTTCCAGTCCAACTCCCTGCTGATGGCTTGGGAAACTAGTAAAAGATGGCCCAAATGCTTGGGCCACAGCACTCTCGTGGGAGACCCAGAAGAAGCTCCTGGCTCCTGGCTTCAGATGGGCCCAGCTCTGGCTGTTGTGGCCATTTAGGGAGTGAACCAGTGGATGGAAGACCTCTCTGTCTGTCTCTCCCTCTCTCTGTCTGTAACTATGCCTCTCAAGTAAATAAATAAATTGTTGGAAAAAAAAAAAAAAGACCTGAGCTGGTGCCGAAGCTCACTAGGCTAATCCTCCGCCTTGAGGTGCCGGCACACCGGGTTCTAGTCCCGGTCGGGGCACCGGATTCTGTCCCAGTAGCCCCTCTTCCAGGCCAGCTCTCTGCTGTGGCCAGGGAGTGCAGTGGAGGATGGCCCAAGTGCTTGGGCCCTGCACCCCATGGGAGACCAGGATAAGTACCTGGCTCCTGCCATCAGATCAGCGCGGTGCACCGGCTGCAGTGCGCCGGCCGTGGCGGCCATTGGAGGGTGAACCAACGGCAAAGGAAGACCTTTTTCTCTGTCTCTCTCTCTCACTGTCCACTCTGCCTGTCAAAAAGAAAAAGAAAAGAAAAAGAAAAAGACCTGATGTGCCGTTTTCCAAAGAATCCTATTTGTTACGGACTATGATGATGCTTCATTCTTTGTTTACTTAGGATAAGTAGCCTGGTTGCTACTTAGAACTTTTCTTCTATTTCTAGGTCACCTGCTGCTGGGTCTATACAGATAGAACAAGTTAAATTTTGTCTATATTATTTTTACTAGTGTCTTGATTTCTTTATTAGAATATTTGCCCTTCCATTGGGTGAGAATTTGTCCAGCTGATAAATGAATTTGTAATCAAAATATTCTGATTGGTTTGATTTGGAATATTTTCTCTTATTAGCGGTCAAGTGGGTTCTCGGAGTCCTTCTATGATTAGTAATGATTCTGAAACCTTAGAAGAATGTATGGTATGTTCAGATATGAAGAGAGATACTCTTTTTGGCCCATGTGGGCATATTGCAACCTGTTCTTTATGTTCTCCACGAGTCAAAAAATGCCTCATCTGTAAAGAACAAGTTCAATCCAGGACAAAGGTAATATATTTTAATAAGTATTTTATCATTTTGTCCTTTGATACTATAGTTAATGATAAATAAGATTATGTGATTTTCTTATGTCTTGTTCTTCGAATGATTTAGACACAGATATCTATAAATTATATATATAATATGTAAATGTATGTATACATTTATCAAGAAATCAGTTTAGAATTTCTGAATTTAATGCTGACTCACAGTCTTGTCTTAGTGTGTTATTTTGCAATATTCATTATTATATGATTTTAACTGTACTGGTTTTATTCCCTGAAATTTTTTTTAGCCCCTAAGTGTCTCCTTTATATCTAAGCTGTAGGGGTTAAAAATAAAAAGTATTTAGTGTTTTGTTTTTAGAGCACCCTGTAACTTAGAGATATATTTAGTTCTACTTTGTGTTGTGTACTGTGAAATTTTCAAACCTGTAGAAAGTACAAAAATGAACATATCCACCTAACATCTGTCAGGGGCTTGCAGAGCCTTTGACTGTGAAGAAATAGTGACCCCAAGTGGTCAAAGGATAACGAACATCTTCACAGAAAAAAAACAAATTCGAGTGTTTGGAGGGAAGGATAATAAACAAGCTTGGGTTGCTAATCAATTGGAGAAGTGGAGTTAACATAAACTATTCCTTTTGAGCTATCAAAAATAAGTTTAAAGGGAGTGATAACAAATAAAGTAGGAAATGACCATTCTCTAAACGCTACACAAGAAGCATGGAGGCCATGCTGACTATATGTCCAAGCCCATACTTTAACAGTGTGCTTTCATTTGGGAAAAGTTACGGTTACAGAGGGGTTTTTTTTTGTTTTGTTTTTAGTAATGGGGAAAGGTGGGGTAAGGTAAGTAAGTGTTATTAGATGATCATGGCTATATTATTTTAAACTCCTTAATAACAATTCAGATACATAAACATAAATACCTTGAAATTATTTTGAAACTCAGCACAATTGTATAGAGAAGAGAATTATGTATTGGGCACTGATTATATGTTACACATTGAATTAGATACTTTTACACATATGATTTACATTTAAAAAAAAAAAAGTTTGTCTGGAAGACAGTGATAGAGAGGAGATTTTTGTATCCACTGATTCACTCCCCAGATGGCCACAACAGCAGGGGTTGGGACAGCAAGAAGACAGGAGCCAGCAACTCCACCCACATCTTCCACGTGGGCAGCAGGAGCTCAAGTACTTGGGCCATCTCTGCTGCTTTCCCAGGTGAATGAGCAGGGAGCTAGATCAGAAGCAGAGTAGCTGGGACTCAAACTGGCACTCTAATACAGGATACTGGCATCACAGGTGGCTTCAACCACTGCACCATGTCACTGGCCGCTATGATTTACTGTTTACTCCCCTGTGAAGAAGGATTGTTCTTTATGGCTCATATTTAGAAAGAAGAAAAACAAACAAACAAAAAAAGTTGTGACTTAGGATTTTTAGGTACTGTGTTAGTGTTAGAGGGAGATTTTGAATCCAGGAGTCTATGGGTCACAACCAACGATATTTTACTGCAACCACTCTTACTGCAAAGTTGGGAAAGTTGATGAAGAGAAAGCAGGCAATGTTTGGATGTTAGGATAATGTTTAAGTGAGTGGTGGTTATCATTTTTGGACAGGAATATTGAATGACAGTGGAGATAGCTAAATGTGACCACGTGTAGGAAAGGAGAAGAAGAGGTGGAAGTTGGATGAGAAGCCAGTGGTGGAGGGCTGGGGTAAAGGAAGCCAAAGCCAAGTTTGAACAGTTACATGCTCAGAACTCAGTTGAAGGAGAAATGAAGAAGAGATCAAACTGAGGGCAATTAGGAATAGATTGTGGAAGACTTAGGGCTCTAGCACAGGGAGAAGGAATAGCTTAAAGGTATGGGCCTCAGCCAGAATGGGATTGACTACATCTTGGAAAATAGCTTTTAGGAAGGATTTCTTGAGTGTGGGTCAACAGTGAAATCCTTCTTGGAATTTAGCAACTCAACTAGATTTTTATTCAGATTAGAAAATTATCTTCTCATTTATTTTTATGTTTCTTTATTTGTCTATTGCCCTTTTCATTCCCTCTCAAAAATAGTTTTTGATGGAGGGGCAGGGAGAGAATATTGGAGCCTATCCCATTCTTGCTGCCCTCAGGGGAAATGGCTTTTTTCTGTATGATTCTTTAGGACAGGAGATGAATGTGGAACCTAGTGCCTATTAAACAAGAATATATAATGATGTGAAAATGTGTGAGTTAAAGCTCAGTGCCTAGAGGGTTTCCTTAGAAAGGAAATCTGGTTTATTGGATTTCTCCGTGTATACTCACTGTGCTGTAACCTCTTCTCTGTAGATTGAAGAATGTGTGGTATGCTCTGACAAGAAAGCAGCTGTTCTTTTTCAACCTTGTGGACACATGTGTGCTTGTGAAAGTGAGTAGCCTCTACAAATTTCCTCAGTGTTGTTATAAAAACAGAAAGCGAAACAAAATTAGTATGTTTGAAGTTTTTGTTGTTGTTTTGTTTTTGTTTTTTGGGTAATTAAGGAACAGAAATTGGATAGTCCTCTAGGAGCTTCCATTTTTTTCTCTATACCTAGTTGTCAGCCATTTCTCTCTGAGCTTCTGAGCACTCATGAGGATACAATGTTCTACCAGCTTGGTTTTTTTTTTTTTTTTTTTTTTTTTTCTTCCCCTACAGGCAGAGTGGATAGTGAGAGAGAGAGAGAAAGCAGAGAGAAAGGTCTTCCTTTTTGCCATTGGTTCACCCTCCAATGGCCGCCGCAGCCCTCGTGCTGTGGCCGGCGCATCGCGCTAATCCGAAGCCGGGAGCCAGGTGCTTATCCTGGTCTCCCATGGGGTGCAGGGCCCAAGCACTTTGGCCATCCTCCACTGCACTGCTGGGCCACAGCAGAGAGCTGGCTTGGAAGAGGAGCAACCGGGACAGAATCCGGCATCCCGACCGGGACTAGAACCCGGTGTGCTGACGCCGCTAGGCGGAGGATTAGCCTAGTGAGCCGCGGCGCTGGTGAACCAGCTTGGATTTTTATTTCTTTTGTATTAGCACAAAGTGAACTATCTTCACACATTATAGAAATTTATTTCCAAAAATTAATATTGAGACTTTTTTTTCTTTTACATACAAGATTGGTATGCCTGCATTTGTCTTTACCTTAATATTGCTGTTGTACACTTTCCTCACTCCTGAAGAGCTCACAGCAGCCATGTGGGGCTATAATTTTTGGCCTTCCTTAACCTTTATGTCAAGAGAGCTTATAGAAATCTTTCGTTTCTTTCTTTTTTTAAAATTTATTTTATATATTTTGAAATCAGAATTACAGGCTGGCACCGTGGCTCACTTGGCTAATCCTCCACCTGTGGCGCTGGTACCCCGGGTTCTAGTCCCCGTTGGGGCGCCAGATTCTGTCCCGGTTGCCCCTCTTCCATTCCAGCTCTCTGCTGTGGCCCGGGAAGGCAGTGGAGGATGGCCCAAGTGCTTGGGCCCTGCACCTGCATGGGAGACCAGGAGGAAGCACCTGGCTCCTGGCTTTTGATTGGTGGCCATTTGAGGGGTGAACCAATGGAAGGAAGACCTTTCTCTCTCTCTCACTATCTAACTCTGCCTGTCGAACGAACGAACGAACGAAAGAAAGAAAGAAAGAAAGAAAGAAAGAAAGAAAGAAAGGCAGAGTTAAGAGTTACAGCATGGGTGGGGGAGGAGGAAGATTTATATTTATTTATTTGAGAGTTACAGATAGAGGGAGAGACAGAGAGGTCTTCCATCCTGTGGTTCACTTCCCAAATGGCATTGCTAGGATAGACCAAAGCCGGGAGCCAGGAGCTTCATCCAGATCTCCCACGTGGGTGCAGGGACCCAAGCACTTGGACCATCCTTTGCTGCTTTCCCAGGTCATTAACAGGGAGCTGGATTGGAAGTGGAGCAACTGGGACTCGAACCAGTGCCCACATAGGATGCCAGCACTTCAGGTAGAGGCTTAACCTACTAACATACTATGCCACAGTGCTGGCTCAATACTGAATTTTTTTTTAATTGTATTTATTTATTTGAAAGGCAAAGTTACAGAAAGAGAGAGGGAGAAACAGAGAGAAAGTTCTTCCATCCGCTGGTTCACTCCCCAAATGTCCGCAACGGCTGGAGCTGGGCCAATCCGAAGCCAGGAGCTTCTTCTGGGTCTCCCACACAGGTGCAGGAGCTTCTTCTGGGTCTCCCACACAGGTGCAGGAGCCCAAGCACTTGGGCCATCTTCCACTGCTTTCCCAGGCACATAAGCAGGAAGCTGGATCTGGAAGAACAGCAGCCCAGATATGAACCAGCACCCATATGGGATGCCCGTTATCCCAGTATGCCACAGTGCCTGCCCCAATATGAAGTTTTAATAGGTAAAAAATTTTATAAAGTTGTGGTTATATCAGCCACCTGCTGATGCACCTGGGAGGCTGTGGAGGATCACCCAAGTACTTGAGACCCTGCCTCCCACATGGGAAGCCGGCTGTTGCAAGCAGATAGAAGATCCCTCTCTATCGTTCTCTCTCTCTCTCCCCTCCCCTTTTCTCTGTTACTCTACCTTTTAAATAAATAGTAAAGAAATATTTTAAAAAGTTGTGGTTGTATGTTGAGATAATTAAATCAGTTCTTTAAGCATAAGAGAAAAGTCAGCCTTAAATTGAAGACAAATCCCATGGGGTTGGCACTGTGGCATAGCTGGTAAAGCCACCGCCTGCAGTGCCGGCATCCCATATGGACACCAGTTCGAGGCCCGGGTGTGCCACTTCCAATCCAGCTCTCTGCCATGGCCTGGGAAAGCACTGGAAGATGACCCAAGACCTTGGGCCCCTGCATCCACGTGGGAGACCCAGAAGCTGCTGCTGGTTCCTGGCTTCTCCAGCCATTGCGGCCATCTGGGGATTGAACCAGCGGGTGGAAGACCTCTCTCTGTCTCTGCCTCTCTATAATTCTGTCTTTCAAATAGGTAAATGAATCTTTAAAGAAAAAAAAGAAGAAGACAAATCCCAGACCAAATTTCTACTAGCATTGTCTCTTATCTAGTGTATTTTGCATAAGCAGGTTTCAGACCCATTTATGTTTAGGCTTTGGTATGAGATCAGCCTTTGTAATGATTTTCCATCCAAGACTGTAGTATCAGTGGTTTTGTGCTTTGTTAAAGTTTACTGTTTGGGGCCGGTGCCATGGCTCAATAGGCTAATCCTCCACCTGCGGCACCAGCACACCGGGTTCTAGTCCCGGTTGGGGCACCGGATTCTGTCCCGGTTGCCCCTCTTCCAGGCCAGCTCTCTGCTGTGGCCCAGGAGTGCAGTGGAGGATGGCCAAAGTGCTTGGGCCCTGCACCCCATGGGAGACCAGGAGAAGCACTTGGTTCCTGGCTTTGGATCAGCGCGGTGTGCTGGCTGTGGCGGCCATTGGAGGGTGAACCAATGGCAAAGGAAGACCTTTCTCTCTGTCTCTATCTCTCTCACTGTCCATTCTGCCTGTCAAAAAAAGTTTAGTGTTTTGACATAAGTTATCCCTGGATAGCTTACTATGGATTTTGTTATTTTTCCTGTTTTTGAAGTGAACAACAAAGCAAAAGACATTACATAAATAGAGATGTAGCGCACACTCTCAGAAAAAATGCTGATGAGAAAGATTATGTTGAATTACTCTGTGTGAGTGTGTAATTCAAAGTTTAGATGTAAGATGATAATAACAGCTCAAAGCATACAGTTGTATATAGATATTTCTTCTTGGAATGGTAAAGCATTCTACTAAAAATATAGCTTATCACTTTTCCAATTTAACTATTACGAAGTCTTTATGAACATTTTTTTATTTTCCTGAATGCTACATTCAAAAAACCACTAGATAATTTACCTGTTACATTTCCTGAGTTTGATAAAGGAAAGAAGAGAATTTTCCAACATTTTACAAATAAGCCATTTGCAGTAGAAACTATTTTTAGAAGATAATGTAGGCAAACTTGTAATTCTAGTATCAGTTAAAATTTGTTGAGGGTATCTAATATTCTCAAACTATAAGATCTTTAAAAACTTACTATGCTACTTATTTTTAAAAATCAATTCATGGGCGGCCGGTGCCATGGCTCACTAGGCTAATCCTCTGCCTGCGGCGCTGGCACTCCGGGTTCTAGTCCTAGTTGGGGCGCCAGATTCTGTCCCGGTTGCTTCTCTTCCAGTCCCTCTCTCTGCTGTGGCCCGGGAGTGCAGTGGAGGATGGCCCAAGTGCTTGGGCCCCTGTACTCGCTTGGGAGACCAGGAAGAAGCACCTGATTACTAGCTTCAGATCGGCGCAGCGCACTGGCAGTAGCAGCCATTTGGGGGGTGAACCAACGGAAGGAAGACCTTTCTCTCCGTCTGTCTGTCTCTCTCACTGTCTAACTCTGCCTGTCAAAAAAATAAAATAAATAAATAAATAAAATAAAAATCCATTCATGGTGTTGGTGCTGTGGTGTAGCGACTGAAGCTGCCTCCTGCAGTGCTGGCATCCCATATGGGCACCAGTTCAAGTCCTGGCAGCTCCACTTCCAATCCAGCTCTCTGCTATGGCCTGGGAAAGCAGTAGAAGATGGCCCAAGTCCTTGGGGCCCTGAACTCACATGGGAGACCCGGGGGAAGCTCCTGGTTTCTGGCTTCAGATCGCCGCAGCTCCAGCCATTGTGGCCAATTGGGGAATGAACCAGTGGATGAAGATCTCTCTCTCTCTCTCTCTCTCTCTCTCTCTCTCTCTCTCTGCCTCTCCTCTCTTTCTGTATAACTCTGACTTTCAAATAGATAAATAAATCTTTTTAAAAAAAGTAATCAAATTAAATTCCAGGCATCTTCTATTTAAAAAAATCAATTCACAATTTATTCAATTGTATTAGAAAGTATTATTGTTTTCATAATGACAGGACCTTTATTCTAGAAGCTATCAATTGAGAGTAACTGTTTCTTAGGTTGATAACATTTTAAGGAGATTGAATTGTGTACTGATACAGCTCATTTAAGATTTCTTTCAGAGTGATGTTTAAGTCTTAGAAATTAGCAGAGGAAGGCAACACTTATATTCATGTTCTCTCTCATCAGAGTTTTCTGTGGTACTGTTTTCCAGACTGTGCTAGCCTGATGAAAAAGTGTGTGCAGTGTCGTGCAGTAGTGGAGCGAAGAGTGCCTTTCATCATGTGCTGTGGAGGGAAGAGTTCGGAAGATGCTACTGATGACATCTGTGAGTGGGTTTTCTGAAGCATTTTCTAGTTTGCTTTCTTATTAGGATGTGCACAAACACCTCTTATTTATATTGTACTATTGCCTTGTAAAACGTAAGATATGAGTTGGATCAAAGGAGTAGGTATAGTTTTCTGGTGTCTTTGTTAAATTTTAAAAATCCTGAAATTATATTTCTCTGGTTTATTGATATGATTGTACAACTTTAAACCTTAGTGCTTTAGAAATGTTTAATTTTCTTTATTTGAAAACAGAGAGAGAAAGAGACAGAACCAGACAAGGTCTGCCATCTTCTGGTTCACCTCCCATTGCGGGCAACAGCCAGCCCTGGGCCAGGCTAAAGCCAAGAGTCCAGAGCTCAGTCTGTGTCTTTATATGGGTGGTAGGACCCAATTTCTTGAACCATCACCTACTGTCTCCCAAGGTATGCATTAGCAGGAAGCTGGAATCGAAAGTGGAGCTAGGAATCCAACCCAGGCACTTAGATATGGGAGTGTGTTAGCTTCTGTGCCAAACGCCTGCCCTTATAACCATTGGTCTTTTGAGAAAAATCCATATATAGTATAAAGAATAGTGCTGTATTCTTGCTGAAAGAAAATTAGCTCTTTATTTTTTTTAAGATTTATATATTTATTTGAAAGAGTTAGAGAGGGAGAGACAGAGAGAGAGAGAGAGAGATCTTCCATCCATTGATTCACTCCCCAATGTCCCCAATAGCTGGGGCAGGCCAGGCTGAAGCCAGGAGCCGGGAGCTTCTTCCAGGTCTTGCATATGGGTGCAGGAGCCCAAGCGCTTGGGCCATCCTCTGTTGCTTTCCCAGGCCATTAGCAGGGAACCAAATCAGAAATGAAGCAGCCAGGACTCAAACAGGTAACCATATGGGATGCCAGATGGCAGCTTTAACTACTACACCACAACCCTTGCCCCTGCTCTTTATTTTTCAGGTGTTATTTAGTGTACTTTAAAATAAGAAATAATACTACTAATTATTTTTTCAAGTGTTTGAAAGTATTTACCTGATTCCTTTATGTAGCACAAAATGATTTCTTTTCACATACAGTAGAAATTTATTTCCAAAAATGAATATTGGAACATTTATTTTTTTGTGGGGTAGTAATGATTTGGGACAAAGTGATAGAGGTAATCTGAAGTATAACCTGATAGGCAAGTGTAAAAATGAAAAATACATGATTTACCTTCAGTCATTTAAATAGTGTAACTGCTTCAAATTTTTTTTTATCTTTGCCCTAGGTATTAGCTGGATGACATATTTATTTAAAGATGTATTTATTTGAGAGGCAGAGACAGAGAGAGGTCATTGATCTGTTGCTTCCCAAGTGGCCGCAATGCGTGGAGCTGGGCCAATCTGAAGCCAGGAGCCAGGTGCTTCTTCCAGGTTTCCTGTGTGGGTGCTGGAGCCCAAGCTCTTGAGCCGCCTTCCACTGCTTTCCCAGGCCATTAGCAGGGAGCTGGATCAGAAATGAGGCAGTTCTGACTCAGTTGAGCCCATATGGAATGCTGGCTCTGCAGGGAGATGCTTAACCTACTGTGCCACAGTACTGGCCCCTGGATGGTTTATTTTAATTTCTTTGTTCTGTGAAGTGTTTTGTGAACAGATGAGGAAGAACAACATTGTGGCCACTTTTTTTCTAATTTCTTTTTTTCTTTGAAAGGCAGAGTAACAAGAGAAAGAGGGAAAGAAAAGGGAAATCTTCTGCCTACTGGTTCACTCCCCAAATGGCTGCAACAGCCAGGTCTGGGCCAGGCAAAAGCCAGGAGCCAGGAACTCCATTGAAGTCTCCCACTATGTGGCAGGGATACCAGTAGATGAGGCACCTTCTGCTGCCTTCCCAGGCATAGTAGGAAGCTGGAATGGAAGTAGAACAGCTGGGACTCAGCCTACTCCCCGATATGGGATGCAGGTGGTGACTTAACTCACTGCACCATGAGGATGTCTTCACTGTAGTCAGTTTTACCCAAGGCTTTTGTTTTTATCACAAGAAGACCAGAATAAAAATCCCAGGCACAGATTGACTGGAATGAAAGACCAACTATCTGGCAGCAGGAAAAGGAAAATCGAAGGTTTCCCTGTGTGTTGGCAGACTACTTACTGATCATGGCCTTTCTTGAGTGCCTCATCTCGGATCAGTAACATTTAGTTCCTAAAGAAAGGAAGCTATGTTTTTGTGTGTCCTAATAAAAATAATCTTCAGAAACTTTTGAAGATAATTATTGTCGCCAGAATTTACCAAAACCCTGTGTTGGTTAGGGAACAGGAAAAAACAAAAAGGATAAAACGTATTTGTGAACTTGGTAAAGGAAAGTAGTAGAGCCTTGGACACCCAGAAGTTTGTGTGTGGATTGTTGTTGGGCTGAGTTAAATACTTGTATAAGTAGAATTAATGCGCAAACCTGTTTTCTTTTGGGAGGTTATAAATGAAAGAATATAACATGAATGTTACTGTTTATCTGTTCAAGTGTGAAAAAATTTTAGGTTTAACGTTTTTAATAAACAAAACAGTAATAGTTTTAGAAATATTATGTCAAAACAATGATAACTGAAAAGCTGTTATTTCTGTTATAGCAAGTGGGAATATTCCAGTGTTACAAAAGGACAAGGACAACACCAACGTCAATGCAGATGTGCAAAAGTTGCAGCAGCAGTTACAGGACATTAAGGAGCAGGTAATGATTTCTTCATGTTAAACAGTTTTCGGGATGGCAGTTGATATTTTTCTATAAAACTAGTGTTCAAAAAACCAAACTAGTGTTTTCTGTTGTGGCATGGTTTATATTTTTGTATCCCTTGTGTTATTTGAATGTTTGGAGTAATATCTGAGTAGACAGTTTAATGATAGTTCTGTCCAAAACAAAAGTACAAATAACTAATTATATAAAAAATGCTCCACCTGTATTAATGTTCAGGAAATGAAAAATTAAGTCCATAATTAGGTGATTTTTTTTCACACCTACTGGACTGAAGAAATGTTAGAGAGTTGTCAGTATCAAGTGTTAGGCAAAATATGTAGCAGTTGTTAAGTTGTACATTTCTAACAAATCTAAATTAGCGAAAGCACTTAGGAAAAAAATTTTTTGTTGTCTCATGAAACTAAATAGGATATAATTGAGGAGTATAAACCTGTGGGAAACCACACATATGTTAAAAGTCAAGGGTAATGGTTTTCTTGGCTGGGGAAGTCTGGGAAGGGGCAGAGGGAAGTTTCTGTAGTACTGTTGCTCCACTTCCTGGTCCGAGTACTACCAATTACAAGAGTTTGTGAACTTCTACTAAACTTTATATGATCATGCATATTTCCATAGAAATATGATCTAGTAAAAAGGAAAAGTGTATTTGTACACACACACCCTATAAAAAAGAACAACAGAAAGATAAAAGTAAATTCAGAAGAGTGGTTATCAGTGAGGAGTGGAAAGAGAAGACTGGGAGGATTTTAATATTCTGAAGCTGTGATTATTCTGATTATCTCTATCCTTGTCCTATGAGACAGGTAGAAAGATGAAGCTGTTTTTTTTTTGTTTTTGTTTTTGTTTTTTTGACAGGCAGAGTGGACAGTGAGAGAGACAGAGAGAAAGGTCTTCCTTTGCCGTTGGTTCACCCTCCAATGGCCGCCGCGGCCGGCGCACTGCGGCCGGCGTACCGCACTAATCCGATGGCAGGAGCCAGGAGCCAGGTGCTTTTTCTGGTCTCCCATGGGGTGCAGGGCCCAAGTACCTGGGCCATCCTCCATTGCACTCCCTGGCCACAGCAGAGAGCTGGCCTGGAAGAGGGGCAACCGGGACAGAATCCGGCGCCCCAACCGGGACTAGAACTCGGTGTGCTGGCGCCGCTAGGCGGAGGATTAGCCTAGTGAGCCGCGGCGCCGGCCTTGAAGCTGGTTTTTGAAACACATCTGTGATAAACATTTTAGCTCCTAATTGTGAATTAAAATTGTTCTTAAAAGAAATAACAAAACTTAGTGAGCCCTGTTATGGATCTTAAAGAGTAATTCTGCTCTAATTTTATCCAAAGTTTAGCAGTTTAGAGAAGCTTATCCTTCCTTAAATAATCATTAACCCATATGTAATCATTACAGTTTCTAAACAGTTGTAATAAAACTCCTTTTCTGGGGTGGGATTTTAGCACAGAGGTTAAAACACTGCTTGAAACGCCCACATCCTGTGTTGGAGTGCCTGGTTAGAGTCCTGGCTCCACTTCTGATTCCAGCTTTCTGCTAATGAGCACCATGGGAGACAGCAGGTGATGCCTCAAGTGCATGGTTTCCTGTCACCCAAGTAGACCTGGATTGAGTTCTAGGCTCCTAACTTCAGCTTGGTCCAGCCCTGAGTCTTGCAGGCATTTGGGGAGTAAATCAACAGATGACAAATATCTTTCCCTGTCTCTCGGTCTTTCAAATAAAATGGGGAAAAAATACTATATTTTCTGAAGTATAATGGGATATCTTATAGGGGGACCTCTTTCTTCAAGATTATCAAGAAAACATCTTGACACAGGCTGCACAGATATGTTTACTTTTGGAAATGAGAATTAGGCTGGCGCCGCGGCTCAATAGGCTAATCCTCCACCTGCGGTTCTGGCACACCGGGTTCTAGTCCCGGTCGGGGCGCCGGATTCTGTCCTGGTTGCCCCTCTTCCAGGCCAGCTCTCTGCTGTGGCCAGGGAGTGCAGTGGAGGATGGCCCAAACTGCACCCGCATGGGAGACCAGGAGGAAGCACCTGGCTCCTGGCTTCAGATGAGCGTGGTGCACCGGCCGCAGCAGCCATTAGAGGGTGAACCAACGGAAAAAAGAAGACCTTTCTCTGTCTCTCTCTCTAACTGTCCACTCTGCTGTCGTAAAACAAAAAGACAAGTAAAGAAGGAAATGAGAATTAAATAGACCACTTAAAAATTTAATGGAAAGAAACAAAGCATTTATTTAGTTAGTTATCTGTGAGACGGAGAGGATGAGACAGAAAGAGAACCAGCTCCCATGTGCTGCTTGAGCCTGGTGCTGAATCCAAGCACTTCAGTATGGGCCGTGGATGGGTATCCTAACTGGTGGCTAGGTCAAATGCCTAAAGACACTGAAAAGGTGGTTTGGCTCTTTAAAGAGCAAGAACTCTGGGAACTCGTGACCCAAGTTCATTTTACATCATGCCTTGAGAAAAGCTGTAAATTCTGCTAAACCCCACTCTCCTCATATCTAAAGTGGGAGTGACAATAGGACTGAGATTATTTTAGCCTTAGCGTAGTGCCTGCAAGAGTTCTTAGCTACATCTCTGCCCTGCTCTGGCTGCCCAGATGTGCCCAAGACATTGTGTTCTTTTCATGTAAGAGCTGTCAGGGACTGCTGGGGAATCTGATTCGGGCTGAATAGGACTGTTTTCTTTTTTTTCTTTTTTTTTTTTCTTTTTTTGACAGGCAGAGTGGACAGTGAGAGAGACAGAGAGAGAGAAAGGTCTTCCTTTGCCGTTGGTTCACCCTCCAATGGCCGCCGCGGCCAGTGCGCTGCGGCCGGCGCACCGCGCTGATCCGATGGCAGGAGCCAGGAGCCAGGTGCTTTTCCTGGTCTCCCATGGGGTGCAGGGCCCAAGCACCTGGGCCATCCTCCACTGCACTCCCTGGCCACAGCAGAGGGCTGGCCTGGAAGAGGGGCAACCGGGACAGAATCCGGCGCCCCGACCGGGACTAGAACCCGGTGTGCCGGCGCCGCTAGGCGGAGGATTAGCCTATTGAGCCACGGCGCCGGCCCAGGACTGTTTTCTTAACAAAGATGATATTTTAAATTGTTTTTTAAAAAAGCAACAAGAGATTGACTAAAACAAAAGAAAATTGATGTTACAGAATTGCCACATGTTATACTTTTGGAATATAAAATGTGTTAGCATTTATTACATTATTTTTTTATTTGTTGCCTCACATTACAGACAATGTGCCCTGTGTGTTTGGATCGTCTGAAGAATATGATTTTCCTCTGTGGCCATGGAACATGCCAGCTCTGTGGAGACCGCATGAGTGAATGTCCCATATGTCGCAAGGCTATTGAACGAAGGATTCTTTTATATTAACTGAGAAACACAGTGTGTTTTGTTAACTAAGGAGTATCTGGTCATGAGATCTCAGTAAGCTAGTTGGAAGTTGTAATGAATTAATTTCTGGTATCATAGTTTCTTTACTAGAGTGTAATTAGACTGCAAATATATGAACAAAACTACAAAGCAGTATTTTGAAAGGGTGTGGGTTTTTTTGTTTTCCTTTTAAATTTGAAACATCTAATCCATGTAATTCATAGGTAATTTGCTTTTGACTTCTAAGGGGAAAATCCTTTAAGGGTATCCTGGGGTGTTTTTTATTGTAATTTCTCTTATAGTTTATAAATTTGTTAAGACCTCAAAAGACATAATTCCTTGTGATCAGTCAGCTATTAGTATATCATGATTTTACTCAGTGAATTGATACAGATAACTCTAAAAAGTCATTCATGAAATGAAAGGGGCAAGTCAAATTATTATGTAAAATATGTGAAGTGCTAAAATTGTGGGACAAGTTCCAGATAGTTAAGGGGATGTTGAAGGGAAATTCTTTTTTTAATATAATAGGAAATTATCCAAATGTTTGTTTCTGAATTCTTAGAGTAAATGGAAGCATAGAATAATAAGAAAATAGTGACTTTGTATTTGGTTTATTTTGTGGATTTAAAAGGAAAATAGTTTAACTTGAATTAAATTACCAGTTTCAAAATGACTATTAGACATGTTAAAAGGAAAAATAAGCAATCATAGTGGAGAATTGAAGGAGAAAAAATAAAAGAGTACTTGTTAACTGTCCATTATTAGTTGCATTTCTCATATTAATTTAGATACTGTTTGCTTCAGCCAGCCTTTTAAAAAAACATTTGTGAAAAGTGTATTCCAGTTTTCCCCGTGATTGCTTATCTGGCCTTGACTGACCAATAAGATGATGTTGCCCTGTTTGGGCCTTTGAGATTCTGATTAGCTTGGATGATACATTGTCCAGAGACAGCAATCTATATGTATCTGTATCTATTAATTCTGACAGTGTTACAGATTTTACCTTTGTCAAAAAGCCTTATTTCCATTCTTTCTCAGATAGGAAGTCTGACTATAAAGATCTCTTCTTTATACCTACAGATGAAGACATTATACTGCCAATAATATCCAAGACATAGTAGACAAACTAATAATAAATACTTATTTAGAAAGAGTGCCAGGGTATTTGCAAAAAATATGTCTGATTATCTGTGGATTTTTTGTTTTACACAGTTTGACTCTGTAGCATCTCATCTTTTTTTTTTTTTTTTTAACGAATTATCTTATCTGGGGTAACTGTACACATAAATGTTTTCAGATTCCTTGCTGCTAGATTATCAAAACATCCACTGTTTACAGTAGTGTCTACTGTATATTGTTCATTAGCTTATTTCCCATGTGCACTTATTTCCTATATTTTTTGTGGCTTTTCCCCTGGCTAGCAATTTCAGCTTTTCTACAACAACTCAGTTAAAAGTACGAAGTGTCTAGTATTCATAGCTCTGTCTTTCTGGCTATTGAACTACTGCTGTCTTCCCAGTCCTGGTGAAAGCAGTGGTGAGCTTTGCCAGCTGGTTTTGTAGTCTCGGCAACTTTCTATCTATGTTTAGCTGAGTAATTGTTATCATTTAAAACAGTAACCTTTTTAGAAATTTCGGATTTGAAACTACTTTTTGACTCCGTTATCTAATAAGGGGCCACTGAGGCTTTTTAAAAACTTTATTGGAACTTATAAAAAGATAGAACATATGAGTAATGTTATTCACATAAAGAGACAAACCCACTATCTTCTTGCAGATTTGAAAACAAAAGGTGTCAAGATTTTCCTTTTTTTCCCATGCCATTGGCCACTCCATATGCTTTTCAGGACATTGGCTGGTATGGAGGGCACCTGGCTGATTGATGCAGATCTTGGCCAATCAGTGAACTGTGAGGCCCACAGCTTATCAGAGTAGGCCATTTTCAAATTCTTCTGAGCTGTAGTGTTAGAACTTAACGTTCCTAAAAGGTAATATCATCTTATAGACTAGTTTAAACATTTTCTCTGTATGAAAAATATAGTAACTTTATACTATAGAAGTCATAAAGTCACTATCACTTTAGTGCTAAGTAATTGTGGATTTTCTATTTTTATCATTTTCAAATGTATTTTATGAATAGAAAATGTTTATCTATTCATGTTTTCAAGCACCTAAAATTATTTTAAGTGTTAGGGCTTATGAGAGAGAATTTGATTATATTTGATCTTAGCTAAAAGTCCAAGAAGCAATGAGAGAATAAGATCAAGAACTCATTAAAGTGGTTTTCCTCCAACTCTCTGAAACTGCTACCTCTTATTCTATGTCTTGTCAGTACTTTGACAGATGTGTTTTCTCCTCATTAACTAAATCGCTTTATCCTGTGCCTCAAAAAGATCTTTACTTTTCCTGAAATTATTAAATAAATAAACAAATAAATGCAACCAACCAACCTTCTTTCAAAAAAGTATTCATTGGGCTTCAGGAGGTAGGTGTACAACACTGAATATGGCCAGCATCTCAGCACACTCAGGATTGATTGTGCGGTGGTTGCGTGTTTGGGATATTGTATAGTCAGAAGGAAAGCTCTGAAGGTACTGATAGGATTTCTTCCTAATGTTTCTAAAGAGTTGTCATTGTCAATCAGTCGAATTTGGATTCCTTTTCTGGACCCTCTCACCCTACCATGTTTTCTCCCTTATATTCTAAGAATGTCAGTTTTATTACTCAAAACACACACAAACAACTTACCAGATGGTGCTATTCCAATTATGTTTGCTCACATAATTTGACATTCTTATTGCTCATTATATATATATATATATATATATAGTTAATTTTGTTGGGAGCAAGAAGGTTTTTCAAGAGAAGATAATTTTGTATTAGTGTAGGAATATTATATTAGACAAACATGTAGTTTAGCTGGCTGATTATGCTTAAGATATTTGTAATTTTAAATATTGCAGGTTGACTAGCTACTGAGGCATAAAATTAATTAGTAGATAATGCTGGAAATCACTTTCTTAAATTTATATTTTTGATGATTTTAGTCTGTAAGATTTTCATGTGTTGAACTGCATGCTGCTTAAGATTTGTCCAGTTCAGATTTCCAAGCTTGCTAGTTAATTTTCTGTGGTAGAAACATGCTATCCAGCAGTGTATTGCTGAGTTGTTGTTCTTTGTTGTGAATTATGGACTCTTTTTGGACTAGGAATTATTCAAATTTATGGACTAAGAGAATTAGGGATAGGGAAAGGTCGGGTCAGGACAGTGGGATTGTTCCGACAAGTGAGAAGGAGAAAAGTCAGTGTTTGAATATGGAGATAAAAGAGGATCATGTGGATTTCTTCTGAGCATCAGTGGAGAGGGTAAATTTAAACCACATAATAAAAAGGGTCTTTCAACCTATTAATTTGTAGTTTAAATGACAGTTGCTCTGTAAATTTATAGACTTTATTATAGCTTGCTTTTTTTTTTAATCCAAAAAGGAAAAGCACTTATCCTCTTAGGATGTCTAAGATGTTTTATAGTAATACTTTGTGTAAAAAATTGCATTTTGAAATATGGGTTGTTTTGCATTATTTTGTTGTGGTAAAGTCATATAAAAGTCACCATCTGAACTATTCCTAAGTGTCCAGTTTGGTAGTGGTAAGTACATTCACATGGTGTGAAGCATCTCCAGAACTTCATCTTGTGAAACTGAAACTCCATACCCATTTATAACTACACTCCCCCATTATCCTCAGTAGGATAGAATTTGAGCCAAATGTAAATCAAGAAACAGCCAAATCACTTAGCAGTTTGTTTATGTTTGAAAGATCCAAAGTCATGGCAAACAACAGGTTCCTAAAATTTGGGGGAAAGACAACATTTCTTACCCTCTGCTCATAATCATAACTGAATAGGTTTTAAATGTGCTTAGTTGGAGAGGTTAGTTATTTCACTTTGAGCCAGAGGGGAAAAACACATTTTAAATACCGGAATTAGGTTAGCTTTGAATTTGTACTAAATTGGGATGGCAATAGATTTTCACAAAGTAAGTGTGCCTTGCTGTTGAAAATGTCAATTGTCTTAAGTCTCCTTGTAAAAGTTTCAAAATATGTCTTTCTTTCAAAAAAGCAAACTAATTTCACTTACTCGAATATTATGATAGGAATGCTTACTGATATTACTTGATAATCATATATCCTTGGAACTTTAACATATATATATAAAACTATAGCAGTATTAATAATTACAGTTGTACTTCTTTAAAACATTAAATTTGAGGAAACTGTTTAATGCTGTCTCATGTGTACATTGCTTTACTATAGTGAGGGGGAAAGTCTTTCAGATTGAGCCTCAGTTTACTGACAACTGGTTAGTAGTGGGTAAAACTACAGTATGAAAAATAGGAACTAGACAATGGAGCTGATGAATTAAAATTATAAGTTGCTACATTGGCATTTTCTACCTCCTTCTTGGTCAGAGTGTTACTTTTTCCAACACTTATTCTTATTTGTGAGTAAAGAGGAGATTGGATCCAGAGATTGAAATTGAGAATTTTGTTTTGTTGAGAATTTAAGCAGTAGGTACAAGAGAAGTGACTTGTCATATTAATTTGGTGCCTAAATCCATAACTACAAGTTACAATTGACATGTACAAAATGTCTGAGGAAGATAATATTGGTGAATATTTTACTTTCCCTGTATAGTCTACTAAGTTTTGTTTCATAAACACAACTTCTTTCCTCCAAAAAGCAAAATGGTCTTGTAATTTTTTTTATAAAATAAACAAATATGTGCCATTTTGTCTGAGATATATCATTTCAGGAAGCTATTGAAAGTTCTGACTCAGGGCTTTTTAACAGTTCAAGCAATTGTTAATTATATTTTAGAAATTCCATCCACATAATTCTTCAGTGCCTTGAAAGAATTATTAACTTGGCAACACTATTAAAACTTCACAGAAGGCGGTCAGTAGTGCACGTGTGTTATAACGATGTACACTTTCATAAGTCATATTGCTCAGCTGTGTAAGAGTGATACTGTGTGTATGCTGGGTTTGGGTAATTCTTTAAAGGAAATCTCCTAGATTTGCACTTGATACTCATTTTTAAAAAACTGATTATTTATGGCCATGACACTGTTACCAGAAAAGTAATTCTATGTTAAGCCATTATGCAGAGTCATCTATAAGTAGCATCTGGGAAGAGAAGATGGAGCTTACAGTTTGCTATTTTAGAATGAAAGGATCTGTTTGGGAAACACAGATTGTCTTCCCCTCAAAGGAAAAATAAAATACTTCTATTCAGCTCATTCCGTTTTTTTAAAAAAATATTTTTAAAGGAAACCATGAATTGCATGTTATTCTTAATGCTGGTCTTGTAGACTAAATGTAGAAAATTGTTTTTCTCTTAGTTCAGTATACTTGTGTTATTCTAAATGCATTGTATTCAGTGGAAGAAAGCAGCTAATAATTGGACCCTTAGCAGTGTTTTCCTTTGCATTTTTCCCAGTTTTTTAGCTTTCAATGTTGTATTAAATTTAAAGTCTTATTTGTGAATATAGTTTCTATATGGCAAATGATTCTTAATAGTTTTGTTAAAAAATGTTTGGTAGGAGCTAAGTTTTTAAAAATAAATGCAAACCTGTACCATTAATAAAATCTATAGTATTATATCATACAATGCTTTTCTCTGATCTTTTGAAAACTGTTCTTTATAGTAGTATACTTGGGTTTTGATTCTTAAGGCATTTGAGAACAAATTGTAGCACATCAAAAAATCTGTTTGTGTTGGAAAGGAAATTACTGTGTCTTTGAGAAACAAGGACATCTGTCTCCAACTCAATGTCAGACCTAAATATTCCCATCTAGAAGACTGTCCTTGCAGTTGTTTACATTTAGGTACCTCTATCCAAAGGGCCAAAGAAGCTTTTTGTATTTTAACACCTCACACTCTTTGAAGATTAAGTTGTATTGTGAAATTACCAAAAGTCTGAATGGGATAAATTTGATAGTAAATCAAGCAGTCAGGAAGACTCAACTTTTTCTGTGAAAACTTTCTTTCCTTTCACAACACAGATGTAGATTTCAATTTCAAGAGACAACCACTTCAAGGCAATGATTTATTTTAGTTTTGTGGTTGTCTGAGTAACTGAATGACCTGGGGACTATTTTATTTTTCAAACACTTATTTGTGAAGTTATTAAGGCTGTCTAGTTCCAGTTCAGAAGATTAGGTCTCTTTTGGATGTTTAAGAGAAAAACCATCTGAAATAAAATCTTTTGTTTATTTGAAAAAAGCATATGTACTCCAACTTTAAAATTGTGAATTTATTTTGGGTAACCTCCAAATAACTGTATTTTTAAATTTCTGTTGCTGTATAATTAGATATTCCATGGCAATATTTTTTATTGAATTGGAACTGTATAGGTTTTTAAAATAAAGACATTTTAGAAAGTCTGCTTTATACTTTTTTTTATCATTGACAGATATTCACCCTTCACAGAGGATGAAATTATTTGATATTCTTAGAGTGCAGCATTTCCCAAACTTAGGGACAATAAAACCTCTTAAATGGTGCATTGCAGAGCAGTGATAGCTTATAAGATACAATGAACACATGAATTAAAATAGAACACTCAGAACTCTCTCATGAATTAATTTCTGAAGAATGATAATTTGGCCAGTGGTTTCTCCATTTATAACAAAACTAGTTGATAAACTTATTTTTATTTTGTTGAAAAGAAAAAGTTAAACATGGGCTGGCATTGTGGTGTAGTGGGTTAAAGCCCTACCTACAGTGCTGGCATCCCATTTGGGCACCAGTTTGTGTTCCAGCTGCTCCACTTCTGATCTAGTTCTTGCTGATGTGCCTGGGAAAGCAGTGGAGAATGGCCCAAGTGCTTGGGCCCCTGCAGCCATGTGGGAGACCCAGATGAGGCTCCTGGTTCCTGGCTTTGGCCAGGCCCAGCACTGGCCATAACAGCCATCTGTGGATTGAACCAGCAAATGGAAGGTATTTCTCTCTCTCTGTCAATCTTTCTAAATATATAAATAAATCTTAAAACAAAAACAAGCAATATCTTGATCAGAACATTGACAGTTTGGGAAGTGCTTTTAAAGGAGAGATTAACCCTAATTTAATAGGAAACTAGAGAAACAACCAGTCAGAGAGCCTTTGCCTGTTGACTGTGGTCATAGGGTAAACTACTGCTCCAGAAATTGTAGACACTGGCAAGCAGATACAGAGAATCCTAGTGAAGACCAGAGGAAAATTCCCGAATGCTTCTGGCAAGGGGAGGAGAATAAAGAGCAGTATTTCAACACAAACTGAGCAAATCAGACAGCTGGCCTTTACACGTCCTTATCCTTTCTTTGTGTTTGGAGCTTACCAGCTAGCTCCTGTTTTTCCATGCTTTTCTCTATTTACTTTTTTTAAAGATTTGTTTATTTGAAAGGCAGAGTGACAGATTGAGATCTTCCATCTGCTGGATCTCTGCCCAAATGGCTTCAATGGCTGGACCTGGTCGAGGCTGAAGCCAAGAGCCCAGAACTCCCATCTGGGTTTCCCACGTGGATGGCAGCAGCCCAGGCACCTGAAGCATCAGTTGCCTTTCCAGGTGCATTGGCAGGGAGCTGGATCAAAAGAGGAGTAGCTGGGACTTGGACCAACACTGTAATGTGGGATGCCCATGTCATAAGCAGCAGCTTAACTCGCTATTGACAATGCCAGCTTCTCTCTTTTTATTTTTAATTAGTTTTATTTGAGAGAGAGAGATCCTCCATCTGCTGATTCATACCACAAATGCCTGCAAAAGCCAGGATGGGGAGCCAGAACTCAGAATAATCTGAGTCTGCCACAGGGATAGCAGGTGCTGATACTTGATCCATCACTACTGTCTCACAGGATGCGCATTAGCAGAAAGTTCAATCAGAAGCAGAGTTGCCAGCACTCAAATCCAGGCACTGTGATACGGATTGCAGACTTCCCAAGTGACAAGTGCTGTACCAAGAGCCGGCCCCTCTTCCAGTTCTGAATGTTATAAAATCGAGTCACCCCATTGTGCTGTGGAACACCAGAATTTGTTACTTCTAATTGTTTCATTATTTGTTCTTATCTCCCTCTATCCCCTTTCTTCCAGAGAACAGAAGCAAACACTTTCTAATTCATTGTTACCCCGAAACAGATAAAGACATTGCAAGAAAGGAAGCTACCTACTGACGTCCTCCGTGAACATCAGTGTAAAAGTCCTCAACAAATTATAAGTATAGAAGTTGAATCTAGCAATGTATAAAACGATGTATGCAGCATGACCAAGTAGGTTTTATTCCAGGTATGTGAGGCTGGTTCAATCCTTAAGTCGGTCAGTGTAGCCCATTATATCAACAGGCTAAAGAAGAAAACTCACCTGACCATATGAACAGAAGGCAAACACTTGACAAAATCCCCATTTCGGGGGACCCGTGCTGTGGCGTAGTGGGTAAAGCTGCTGCCTGCAACACTGGCATCTCATATGGGTGCCAATTTGAGTCCCTCCCTGCTGCTCCACTTCCGACCTAGCTCCCTGCTAATGGCCTGGGAAAGCAGTAGAAGATGGCCCAAGTGCTTGGGCCCCCACACCTACATGGGAGAACAAGAAGAAGCTCCTGGCTTCTGACTCCTGCCTGGCCCAGCCACGGCTGTTGCAGCCATCTAAGGAGTAAACCAGTGGAGGGAAGGTCATTCTCTGTTTTCTTTCTCTAACTCTGCCTTTCAAATAAATAAATGTTAAATAAATCTTAGAAACCTCATTCATGACAAACATTTCAGCAAATGAAGAATAGGAGAGAATCTCATCATCTTCAGGGCCTGGCGCTGTGGCTTAGCAGATAAAGCCACTGCCTGCAGTGTCAGCATCCCATATGGGTGCCAGTTCGAGTCTCAGCTGCTCCACTTCCTATCCAGCTCTCTGCTATGGCCTGGGAAACAGTGGAAGATGGCCCAAGTCCTTGGGCCCCTGCACCTGCCTGAGAGACCCAGAAGAACCTCCTGGCTCCTGGCTCCGAATCGGTGCAACTCTGGCTGTTGCAGCCAATTGAGGAGTGAACAGTGGATGAAGAGTCCCTCACCCCACCCGGCTTCTCTTTCTCTGTGTGTGTGACTCTGACTTTCAAATCAATCAATCAATCTTTAAAAAAACTCCAAAAATCCTACAGGTAGCATTTTTTTAAAAGATTTATTTATTTGAATGGCATAGTTGCAAGAGAGAGAGAGAGAGTGAGCTTCTGTCCACTGGTTCACTCCCCAAATGCCTGCAACAGCCAAAGCTTGGCTAATCTGAAGTCAGGAGCCAGGAGCTTCTTCTTGGTCTTCCATTTGGATACAGGGGCCCAAGGACTTGAACCATCTTCTGCTGCTTTCCTAGGCACATTAGCACAGATCTGGATCAGAAGTGGAGCACCCAGGTCTCGAACTGGTGCCCATATGGGATGCCAGCACTGCAGGTGGTGGCTTTACCTGCTATGCCACAGCACTGGCCCCCAGCTATCATCATCTTGATGCTGAGGACCGGGATGTATTCCCCTAAGACTGGGAACAAAGCAAAGTTGTCCCCTGTCACTACTCTTCATCGTTTTACTGCAGTCCTAGCTGATGCAGTAAGAAAAATATATTACTCTTGTTGCATTACTTTAATGAAATACCTGCAGCAGGCTACTTTTGAAGAAAAGAGGTTTATGCAGATCTGTTTTGGAGGCTGAAAGACGTGGGGCATGACTCTCATGAGGACTCCGTGGTGGGTGGTGTCACAGTGTTGGGGTGCTGCTTCGGCCGTTGCGGCCATCTGGGGAATGAACCAGCAGCTGAAAGACACCTTTCTCTCTCTCTCTCTGCCTCTGTCTCTGTCTCTGTCTCTCTGTAACTCTGCCTTTCAAATAAATAAATCTTAAAAAAAGCACAAAAGAACTTAGGGCTGGCGTGTGGCACAGTGTAAAAGGAAGCCTCTGCTTGTGACAGTGGCGTCCCAAATAGGTGCTGATTCCAGTCCCGGCTACTCCACTTCTAATGCCTTTAAGGAAGTGAAAAGCTAAGTCATGATTGGTAGAAAATATTTTGCAAACTACTCTTTTTTTTTTTTTTAAAGATTTATTTATTTGAAAGGCGGAGTTACAGAGGCAGAGAAAGTCTTCCATCTGCTGGTTCACTCCCCAAATGGCTGCAACAGTCAGAACTGGGCCGATCCAAAGCTGGGAGCTGGGAGCTTCTTCCTGGCCTCCCACGTGGGTGCAGGGGCCCAAGGACTTGGGCCATCTTCCACTGCTTTCCAAGGCCATAGCAGAGAGCTGGATAGGAAGTAGAGCCTCGAGCTGGTGCCCATATGGGATGCTGGTACTGCAGATGGCACCACCAGAGCACCGACCCCACAAACTACTTCTGATAAAGGATGTGAATCCAAAATATATGAAGAAGTCTTAAAACTGAATAATAAGTAAATAACTCAGTTTTAAAAATGGGCCAAAGAGCTGAACAGACACCTCACTAAAGACAGGAGACAAATAAGCAAATGAAAAGATGCTCCGCATCGTATGTCTTGGAATTGCAATTTACAACAGACATGAGGGGCTGACCCTGTGGCGTAGTGGGTAAAGCCACTGCCTGCAGTGGTGGCATCCCATATGGGCACCGGTTTGAGTCCCAGCTGCTCCACTTCTGATCCAGCTCTCTGTTTGGCCTGGAAAAGCAGTGGAAGATGGCCCAAGTCCTTGGACCCCTGCACCTGCATGGGAGACCCGGAAGAAGCTCCTGGCTCTTGGCTTCAGATCAGCGCAGCTCTGGCCATTGCGGCCAATTGGGAAGTGAACCAACGGATGGAAGACTGACTCTCTCTCTCTCTCTCTCTTCCTCTCCTCTCTTTGTGTAACTCTTTCAAATAAATAAATAAATCTTTTTTTAAAAAAACAAAGAATAGAACAACATAAGATACTGCCACCCATCTGGTGGAATGGCTAAAACCCAAAATCTAACATTACCAAATGCCTACAAGGAAGTGCAGTTGTAGAATCTCATTCATTGCTAGTAGTAGGGCAAAATGATCCAGCCACTTTAGAAGACAATTGGAAAACTAACCATAGTATCACCATATTTGCAATTTGACCAAATAAGTTGAAAACTTAACAGTTCACATAAAAACCTGCACATGAAGTTTTATTCCTAATTGCCTCAAGCTGAAAACAACCCTGTTGTTACTCAATAGCTGAATGGTTAAACATCCTGTACTGAATCTTTACAATGGAAGATCATTCATAAATAAAAAGAAGTGACACTGTCTCTCCAGTTTGGTTCAGTGTCTACTAATCCTGCTGACCTCCTCTGGGAAGAAGGGGAGAAAGAATGAAGAGGCATGGCCCAGGCCCCTGGAACCACAGAGGCCAGGTATATGGGGTCCCACAGTGTCCTCCTCTCCTCTCTGTCTGCCCGGAAC